ATATATAATGTACAAATATTATAGTAAAAATAATAATACATAATCAAAGTAGACTGGGTGGCAGGTATCAAGGAGGGATATATACGTTCAGAAAAAGGCTGACTCCCGCATATTTGCGACAAAAACAATATTTTCTCCACATCTATACAATACGCTCATGAACGGTGTTATTTCCATCTGCGGGCGTCGTAGATTATTGAAGCATCAATATCCTAGCTTATTGGGAAACGATGATATTCAGTGTAACATCGTGCTAGAATGGACTCGATAAACTCGGGAAGAATCATCGATACCTTTGTAGATCGAGCGGTCACGGCTATCTTGCGCTGCAATGTGCAAGTGAAGGTCCGTTAAGTGTCTGCCTTGGCTATGTTAATGATCATTTGAAGTATTACTGAATAATCGATAATAGCAATAGTCAATTTTATACGCTTATCCTACTATGAGGTTGCACAATCGACGACTCATATACAATACAAGCCTTTAGCTATAGAATATGTGCTTTAAGAAAGTATGCTGCGTACGAAAAATTCACTAAATAGAAATCCTGGAGCGCACTCACAGCTACCAGGTGAAAGAGCAAACAAGTAAACAAGCATACTCGTTCTCATTACACCACACACAAGTATACCACACAAGAATTCAATATTCCCTCGATACACGGTTGGCAGGTGATGGCCATACACGCTTGTTCTAACATTGGGCTGTTTATGTCAGTGTCCACGGGAGACAAGTAAACTTTCAATGTTGTAACCGAACAACTAAAGCGACGTTATACTTGCAAATGGATGTTCCTACTGGCATAGGTTCATGCATAATTTTGAAAACCGAATGTAACGTTATATAAACTATAAAAACTCGTAAAATAACGGCGTGACTAGTATAGGGTAGTTCACAGACTGTGACGACGAAGTGTACTAGGGTCCAACGTAAATAGGACAAATCGCAACCTTATTCCATCTCATGACAGATACTAGTAGAGGCGGAATGATTTTGTAATGTACCTTGGCAATCTGTTCGGCGGTGCAAACCTCCTCCTCGTCTGACGAACTGTCATCGTGCTGAAAGTGTCTCTCCACTTGCACACTTCCTCCGCGTTTGCACGACATGTACTATGGTCGATAGTGTAAACATACATGTAAACTTATATTCCGGGTAATTTGTGGTTCGAATATCGACATTCCCGTTAGTATAATAGCAGTTAAGTGAATAGCTCCACTTTAGAGTATATAACACCTTATATTGTGCAAGGATGCGCTGTTGGCGATATAACGTACCATTCTTTTATCGAGTATGTACCATCCCATCATTGTCGGAGTTGAATTGTTGATGAATGATGACTGTGCTGGTGGGGAATTTATTAGATTTTTCTTTCTAGAAAATAATGAACCCTCACAAATGATTTAAAGATTAAAAAAGACAATAAAAAATAGACCAGAAGATGGTCAGGTCACGAGTACTTACTATTTACATGAATACTGTATTTAATATTTTTTTTGATTGTTCACATGTATTTAGCCTAGTTAAATACTACTGATGAACACAACATCAAGAGAGAGAAGTGTCAATGAATGACTAAGAGAGAAGATAGATTTTTTGTTCAATTTTCCATAGCCTTTTCTCTCTTGCTTCTTGTGTGTGTGTGTATAAATTTCAGAAGGCTATGATTTTGATTTTTATTAGTCATAAACTCGCACACACAAGAGACCTAAAAGGCTAAAAGCATAATATTTATAAATAATAAATAAATACATACATATTTGTTTTCAAAACCAGGTCTCCATATGAAAAAACCCCCCGTGTCTAAATCAGGGAGTCTGGGGGCCCATAGAGGTCATAGAGTCTCGACTCTCGCTATTCAAATTTACGATTGTTGTAGAGAGAAACCTTCGAGACAATCCCGAGGGCCGTGTCTAATTTTTACTAAAAAAAATAAAAGGCGTCATTTGTATGTGGTTTTTTTTGGGGGTTTTTTATAAATATTTTCAAAAATACGAGAGCTCTCTTCTTGTATTTATTTACATATTTTTCTGAAAATTCATACATAGCCTCCTAAATAAAAAGAGAACACTGATTTTTGAATGTCACATGAACAGAAGCGATGTGATGCAACTGATTATAGATAGGGCTGACTGTTCTCCCATTGATAGTAGCATATTTTAACTTTATCCGTGTGGTAGACAAGAGACCTAAGAACAGTGGTAGATGCAAGTGGTGCCAGACACTCACATATTGAGGGAAGCACCGAATAGTTTGGTCATCGATTCGTAGCATTATCATATCTACTGTGACTGAATGTACAAACTAAACCAGGAGACGACTGACTTAGTTTGTCTGTGGGTATATAATAGGTTAAAGGGCACGTGCATTTTATTGGTGTAAAAATTGTACCGTCTGAGTAACTGCATGCACACTTCGACGCTACAATGCAATATTTGCAGCCTTACACGATCAGAAATTGCTCTCTAGTGTGCATGCCCACATGTCTACGTCTTCGTAAATGTGGCTGTCACAGCTACCACAGCCCCTCTCGCCTCCTTTCTTTGCAGTGGAATTATCGTAATATTAGTATAAAACAAGCTAGCAACACTTGTCCATATGTCTGTACTACGATCCATAATTCTATCTCTAGTAGTGTTAGCCAACCATATAATCTACCATTAATCGGAGCAAGACGCCGGACATACAAGTCACTCGCCAACCCTGTAGGGATTACTAGAGCTGTGACTGGTTTAGGTAAAGCACAGGCCAATCCACTACAGCCATCGGTGCTACAGATACGGACGGATATACTCTGTGCAACACGTAGAAACAATCATAATGTAGAACCAGGGCTCAACGTGCGCACGCACATAAGCAGCCGACATAAGAGCGCCGTATCGCACCCTTTAGAGACCGACTATAGGGATACGCCAAGCTTTCCACGACTTTCAGAAGTACGCTTGCGTTTGCAAGGATTAGTATCAGGAATCACGGCGGATTCGCTGGATGTGTCTACAAGCGAGGCGTACGACATACTCGATGAGGTGGACGAGGGTATGCTGCTTGAAGTGGAAGCCGACCTTAGAGCTTCCGGGAGTGTTGTGGTGGCCTCTACGCGTCATGTGAGTGTGCTTGATCAGCTACACGGGGCTGGCTTGGGCGTTGCGCTGAGGTCGCTGCACTTCAATGATAGATTAGATTTGGTGCAGACTTGCGTCAAGGTGTGCATGAAGACCGGGGAAATATTTCATTCCCATCCACCGCCTTCGCTAGGCGAGCGCTCTACACATCTGCAGGGTCTTGCGCTGGGTTTGGTGTTACAGCAGGCGAGTGTGCTTTTCCCCAACGCCACGTCAGAGTATAAGAACACCGGAAATGTGGACCACGTCTTGAAAACAGATACACTGCAAGAGGCTGACACTGCCGCTTCATTAGGCTCAGAACCGGCTACGGTGCGCACGGACGTACCCCAAAATGTAAGTGCCAGCACTATATTCCCATTTGCACGCACACATACGCACACAAGCACGCAGCACTTCAAGCTACCTCCCTGTAGAGTGGCTGTGCTGGGTGCAGGCGGTTGCTCACTACCAGGCTTCCTACACGAATTGCTGCCGTACGTATACTTAGACTGTGTCGAATCGCATGCCGATGTGATTGCAATGGCCAGGAATTGTTTTGGGGTTCGTGAGCTTGAGGAGACGAGTGCGCGATTCCATATGCACGAGACGACAGCCGAGAAATGGATCGACGAGGAGTTTACGCGGCAGTACAGTTCAAGGGATGTCAGTAGTGATGTTTCACCCTTTGATTTGATGGCAGCTTACACCAAGTATACTACTCTACTGAGCGAGACTGAAAAGAAGGGGGTTGCCGTAGACGCGCGTAACAAGAGTTGTAAGCCGCTTGATTTAGTCATTATAGATATTGAAAATGGGGATATGGCAGACCTTATCTTTGGGATGCGGCCCACAAAAGGAAGTGAGCAATCCCGCAGCAGCTCTTCAGATACAAGCAACACATCTAACGACGCGTGTGCGCCTTCTGAGAGTGTGACTCACAACAACAAAGTATGTGTAGATGTGGGTGGTGTCTCAGGCGATGATAGTTCTCAGGGGTACTGTCTAATTGCGCCTCCGGAATCAATCCTGGAGAGCTCGTTTATGACCAAGGTGTGTGCGAGTGTGGGACCCTACGGAGTGGTGGCCATGAATGTACTAGGTACCGAGGAGGCTCTACTGAAGGTACGAGAACGTTTGAACGCGCGTGTACCCACCGGATGGACGAAGTCGAGATGTACAGCCACTGAAGTATCCCAGACACGACACGGAAACATCAAGCACTGTATAGTGATGCTGAGAAATGGGCCGCAGGTGGATAGAAGTGTTCTGGTGAAGGTGGTGAAGGCCATGCCGAATGTGTTGGATGATTCCACCTACTGGTTTGACAGTTGGGTGGAGTGGTAGGTGAGCGATAACATACTGCCTGCTTGGTGGTACTAACATTTCTAAGCGTGAACACTGCGCAAATATATAATCGATTCCGCCAGTGAAACATCAGCGTTATATGTTCACACCGTCATGCGTGCTATTCAAAAACGTTTAGCAACGGACACGGTATCTAAAAATTTAAAAAGTGCAGTAAACCTTCAATCGATAGTGAATGTTGCAGAACTCCTAATACCATCGAATTATATGCTCTGCTATCGATACCTGAGACTGCGATTCTACTAAGAAGGGTGATATGCAATTGCACAATTAGTGAAAGCCTCTACTGTCAATTTGTCAATTATAAATAAATTTACAGTGGGTTCAAGAGCGTTATAGCGAATCAAAAAAGAGTTCATATGCACCGACATTTGGGATATAAATAGTCTAGTCGAAACAAAAGCTTTCTGATTAAATTGATACGATGGGAAGAATTAATGAACCAACAGAATGAAACAGACAGAAGGCAATGAGATAGCCATAGGCGATCAGACTTGAGTATTGCCCATAGCAAGCAGAGGTAAATAAAACATAGGCTTCATAACCGGAGACTGTGGCAAAATGTCTAAATATGATGTCAATCCCTGTGATGTCTTTTTAGGGTTTAATCAGATGTTGGGTACAATCTCCAAATCTGTGGCAGATCGGGTAGGGTTTTATATACAACCCCTACGATCCTTTACGAAGACAATTTATATGATATTATATGGAGATATGGTCTATATCTTTCTTGTGGTCTCATGCTTTAAGCTACATTTATAGTCTGTTACTGAAACAGTTGCACAAAATGTTTAACACAGCATGGATACTAGTAGGGAGTGTCATCAGTGTAGTTGTAGCTACCGTTGATGTTGAGCAAATCGATCGACTAAAATACGACTTGAAGTTCTTCAACCACGCACTCGACGATGTATGTCCCGATACTATCTATTTTTATGTGTGTACCTTAGCTAAATGCGGCTATGAATTGCTTATGCCTTCTTGAGATCAGCTCGCGGTTGGTTGTAATACTGCGCTCCACAGATTGTATTATATTATATATATATTATATATATATTTATATATATATATATATATATATATATATATATATATTGTGTGTGTGTGTGTGTA